CCCCCCCCCTTCCTCCCTCTAGATCTGGTTCTGGTTCTGGACTCTGACAAGAGGCTCTGACCCGTCACACACACTTTAGTTCTGCTGTTCAGTCTGATTGTTTCCCTGATTCAATTTCACAGTTGACTCTGTCTGTCTCTCTCTGTCTGTCTGTCTGTCTGTCTGTGTCTCTCTCTCTGTGTGTCTCTCTCTCTGANATCCCTCCATCAGTTCATCCCTCCTCCTCTTCATCCCTCCGTCAGGTCTCAGAAGAGGAGTGGAGGTGTGGTCACTCTGTTCTCTGCAGAAACAAACAGTTTCTTTAATTTCACTCAGGTACAAACAGCCCCTCCCCCTCTTCCTCCCCCTCTCCCTCCCCTTCCTCCTCTGCTCCTCGTTCAGGCTCCCTCTCCTCTGCTTTCTCTCTGTTGGACTCTGGGGNCTCTCTCTCTGTCTGTCTGTCTCTCTCTGTCTGCCTCTCTCTCTGTCTCTCTCTGTCTGTCTGTCTCTGTCTGTCTCTCTCTCTCTGTATGTCTCTCTCTGTCTGTTTATCTCTGTCTCTGTCTGTCTCTCTGTCTGTTTCTCTCTGTCTCTCTCTCTCTGTGTCTCTCTCTCTGTCTCTCTCTCTGTGTGTCTCTCTCTCTGTCTGTCTGTCTCTCTCTGTCTGCCTCTCTCTCTGTCTCTCTCTGTCTGTCTGTCTCTGTCTGTCTCTCTCTCTCTGTATGTCTCTCTCTGTCTGTTTATCTCTGTCTCTGTCTGTCTCTCTGTCTGTCTCTCTCTGTCTTTCTGTGTCTCTCTCTCTCTCTCTCTGTCTGTCTCTCTGTGTCTCTCTCTCTGTCTGTCTCTCTGTGTCTCTCTCTCTGTCTCTGTCTGTCTCTCTCTGTCTCTCTCTGTCTGTCTCTCTGTCTCTCTCTCTCTGTCTCTCTCTCTCTGTCTCTCTCTGTCTGTCTCTCTCTGTCTCTCTCTGTCTCTGTCTCTCTCTCTATGTCTCTCTCTCTCTCTCACCTTGTGTGTGTTCTCTCTCTCTGGAGTCACAGCATCTGAAAAACAATAGAACACCTCTCTTACATTCAGTTTGATTATTGATCATTATTGATTGATTATAGTTTTTCTCTGATTAATTACTCGTCACTGTGTCAACCTATAATATTTGGGGTTAGAAGTGAACATCTGTCCTGATGTCTCGACTAATGAATGAGAAATAATCAGCTGATCATGGATGATGAGAAGAGGCGTGGCCACAGGTGAATCTGCTCACCTGTGAGCGCTCGCTCCACCTGCTCCCTCCTCCTCGACTCAAAGTCCAACGCCTCCTGCAGCTTCCTCTTCGCCTTCTTCTCCTTCTTCAGCCTCCTCTGGATCGACACTGAGGACCAGGAGACAAGGAGACGAGGTCACAAGGAGACAAGGTCACAAGGAGACAAGAAGACAAGGAGACACACAAAACTGAGTTTTCTACATTTACAGTTTTATGTAGAAAAAAATTACCACTGCTGACCTGTCTCACCTCTGGTCACCTGTCTCACATCTGATCACCTGTCTCACCACTGCTGACCTGTCTCACCTCTGGTCACCTGTCTCACCACTGCTGACCTGTCTCACCACTGCTGACCTGTCTCACCTCTGGTCACCTGTCTGACCACTGGTCACCTGTCTCACCACTGCTGACCTGTCTTACCTCTGGTCACTTGTCTCACCACTGTTGACCTGTCTCACCTCTGGTCACCTGTCTCACCTCTGGTCACCTGTCTCACATCTGATCACCTGTCTCACCTCTGGTCACCTGTCTCACCACTGCTGACCTGTCTCACCTCTGGGCACTTGTCTCACCTCTGGTCACCTGTCTCACCTCTGATCTGACCTGTCTGACCACTGGTCACCTGTCTCACCACTGCTGACCTGTCTCACCTCTGGTCACCTGTCTCACCTCTGGTCACCTGTCTCACCTCTGATCTGACCTGTCTGACCACTGGTCACCTGTCTCACCACTGTTGACCTGTCTCACCACTGGTCACCTGTCTCACCTCTGCTGACCTGTCTCACCTCTGATCTGACCTGTCTCACCACTGGTCACCTGTCTCATCACTGCTGACCTGTCTCACCTCTGGTCACCTGTCTCACCACTGTTGACCTGTCTCACCTCTGCTCACCTGTCTCACCACTGCTGACCTGTCTCACCTCTGGTCACTTGTCTCACCTCTGGTCACCTGTCTCACCTCTGATCTGACCTGTCTGACCTCTGGTCACCTGTCTCACCACTGTTGACCTGTCTCACCACTGCTGACCTGTCTCACCTCTGATCTGACCTGTCTCACCACTGGTCACCTGTCTCATCACTGCTGACCTGTCTCACCTCTGGTCACCTGTCTCACCACCGTTGACCTGTCTCACCTCTGGTCACCTGTCTCACTACTGCTGACCTGTCTCACCTCTGATCTGACCTGTCTCACCACTGCTGACCTGTCTCACCTCTGGTCACCTGTCTCACCACTGTTGACCTGTCTCACCTCTGGTCACCTGTCTCACCACTGCTGACCTGTCTCACCTCTGGGCACTTGTCTCACCTCTGGTCACCTGTCTCACCTCTGATCTGACCTGTCTGACCACTGGTCACCTGTCTCACCACTGCTGACCTGTCTCACCTCTGGTCACCTGTCTCACCTCTGGTCACCTGTCTCACCACTGCTGACCTGTCTCACCTCTGGGCACTTGTCTCACCTCTGGTCACCTGTCTCACCTCTGATCTGACCTGTCTGACCACTGGTCACCTGTCTCACCACTGCTGACCTGTCTCACCTCTGGTCACCTGTCTCACCTCTGGTCACCTGTCTCACCACTGCTGACCTGTCTCACCTCTGGGCACTTGTCTCACCTCTGGTCACCTGTCTCACCTCTGATCTGACCTGTCTGACCACTGGTCACCTGTCTCACCACTGCTGACCTGTCTCACCTCTGGTCACCTGTCTCACCTCTGGTCACCTGTCTCACCACTGCTGACCTGTCTCACCTCTGGGCACTTGTCTCACCTCTGGTCACCTGTCTCACCTCTGATCTGACCTGTCTGACCACTGGTCACCTGTCTCACCACTGCTGACCTGTCTCACCTCTGGTCACCTGTCTCACCTCTGGTCACCTGTCTCACCACTGCTGACCTGTCTCACCTCTGGGCACTTGTCTCACCTCTGGTCACCTGTCTCACCTCTGATCTGACCTGTCTGACCACTGGTCACCTGTCTCACCACTGCTGACCTGTCTCACCTCTGGTCACCTGTCTCACCTCTGGTCACCTGTCTCACCACTGCTGACCTGTCTCACCTCTGGGCACTTGTCTCACCTCTGGTCACCTGTCTCACCTCTGATCTGACCTGTCTGACCACTGGTCACCTGTCTCACCACTGCTGACCTGTCTCACCTCTGGTCACCTGTCTCACCTCTGGTCACCTGTCTCACCACTGCTGACCTGTCTCACCTCTGGGCACTTGTCTCACCTCTGGTCACCTGTCTCACCTCTGATCTGACCTGTCTGACCACTGGTCACCTGTCTCACCACTGCTGACCTGTCTCACCTCTGGTCACCTGTCTCACCACCGTTGACCTGTCTCACCTCTGGTCACCTGTCTCACTACTGCTGACCTGTCTCACCTCTGATCTGACCTGTCTCACCACTGCTGACCTGTCTCACCTCTGGTCACCTGTCTCACCACTGTTGACCTGTCTCACCTCTGGTCACCTGTCTCACCACTGCTGACCTGTCTCACCTCTGGTCACTTGTCTCACCTCTGTTGACCTGTCTCACCTCTGCTCTGCAGCTCGGAGCTCAGCTGTTTCTGGAGCACCTGGCGAGCGTCTCTTTCTCGCTCCAGCTCCAGTTTTAACTCTTTCCTCTCCAGCTGGTTGTGTTTGTCCTGAGAGCGAGCGCTCTCCACCGCCACCTTCAGGAGACCCTGAGAACCACAGAGGACCTGTCATCTTCATCATCATCATCCTCATCATCATCACCATCCTCATCATCATCATCATCCTCATCATCCTCATTATCATGGATCAGGATAGAGAATGACAGGACGAGTTCCTGCCCTCTCTCTCACCTGTATGTTGGTCAGCAGCGTCTCCATGGACGACAGACCCTCAGCCAATAGAAATGGGGCGAAGGGGGGGTTTGAGTGGTTGATTGTCAGTGACTGAGAGGTGAGTGGCAGTTTCTCATAGGTCGGTTTGAGGAGGGGGAGGGGCACCACGTTATCTGCAGGTAAGAACAAGGGAAGCAAAGCAACAACCTCATGAATATTTAATGAGGTCTGTAGGAGAAGCTTCCTGTGTGAATAATTAATGAGCTCTTTGTGTGTGTGTTTCTGCTCTTTGTATCTTTGTGAGGACCGGCTGTGTGTTTGAGCTCAAAACACACAGAGAGAAGGAGAGAGGAGACAAGGGAAAGAGGCAAGGAGGCATGAATAAGGACAGGAAGGAGACGATGAATAAAAGATGAGTGAAGACGCCATCTGCTGCGTCCCCACAAGTACACACACACCAACACACTGACACACTCCTACCTCTATACTTCACCTTCATGTTGTCACTGATCTCACCTGTGGAGTCCCCACACACACACACACACAATATGAAAACATGTAAAAGCTAAATCATACATTGATTATTGATTGATTGATACAGTGTGTGTGTGTGTGTGTGTGTGTGCTGACCGAGCTCTGGTACGTGTGCAGGAGGAGGTGATGATGACGATGATGAAGATGCTCTCGAAGGTGATTGGCTGGTTGGTTCCGGTGGGTGGAGCTCATCATCACTGGGGGAGGGGCAGGGGGAGGGGCTTCCTGGAGGAGACTCCTGAACATAATGGAGGAGTTAGCATTCGCGCTGTTAGCATTAGCACTTAAAACTAAGCAGTACCACTTTTACTATCAACTTAATTAGCATGCAACATGCTAGCATTAGGTCTGTTATCATTGTCAATGTTAGCATTAGCAGTGTTAGCTATCACCTTGCCCTCTTCAGTCTGGACCTGAGACATGGCGGCCATGTTTGCCAAACCGCTTAGCTGACTCATCTGGTTCATCGCCATGGCAACGTTGGCAGGGGGCAGGCCCACAGGGAGAAGAGGGTGTGGCATGACCATAAAAGGAATGTCGGACAGACCTGAGGAGGCCGACCCACAGAGACAGACGGGGAGAAAGTAAACCACTGATGTGCTATGATGCAAAGCTAACAGTGATCGGGTATCCAATCAGAGCTGTGACTCACGGTTGGCCAATAGGGAGCTGTGTTGCTGCAGAGTGCTGAGGTGGAGAGACGCTGAACCAGCAGGAGGCGCCACAACTGAGGAGGGAGGAGGGAGGAGACGCTGCTCCTTCTCCCAGGATCCTTCACTTCCTCCTAGAGGAGAGGAGACAATGAGAGGAGGAGACCTGCCTGATGATGTCATGTGATGATGTCACATCGTAGTTGTACCTGTGTCGTCGTTCTCAGACTCGGCTCCGTTGTGATATCGCTGCTGATTGCTGTTTCCATGGAAACCCATCATCATCCTCATCTTCTGCAGCTTCAGAGCCTCCGCCATCGCTGCTGCCGTCAGACCTGCAGAGAGCGGAGGTCAGTGTGTCCTGATGGGGGCGCTACAGGACCCGGACCATACCATGACTTCTGATGTAATGATCTAGTTGAGTCCTGTTGGCGCCCCCCACAGGTTGCATGGTTCATCACAGCTGTAACAGTGTCTTTGTGTTGGAGGAGGATTCACAGGTCACATGACCTTCATATATTTTCCGTGTTCAGACAAGCTCCATGTTTTCAGCTGCTGATTGATCAATAATTAATAACTCTGGTAGCCTGAGAGTCTCCAGTGACTGTCAGTGTCTCTCAACCACCTCTCTCCCTGCAGCCACTTGGCCCAATTAATTGCCTCCTCTAATTAATTCAATTAGAATTAACGAGGGACTCTCCCTAACAATCGGACAGACCCCCCCCCCCCCAGCTCATTAAATACCTCCTCATGAACAAAAACACAGAACGTTTTTGTCTCTGTGTTCTCATGTTCCCTGCAGGTTCTTCTAAAACTGGAACATTTAATGTCAGGAGACTTTGGAGCAGAATCCAGATCAGACCAGTGTTTCAGCTCTGAAGGTGTCCAGCACAGAGGAGTCCACAGGGTGCTAACTTAGCTTAGCATAAAGAGTGGAAGCAGGTGGTTAGCATTAGCACAGTAAATTTTCACATTTCAAATGAATAATGTGATTGTTTGTTAATTTTGTTGAACTGCAGGTAGATTCAGACCCGTCCAGGTAAACTCAGTCTCCTGCATTTTAACCAGGAGGTCATGGACTTCTTCTTCTCTACTTAAATACAAAACATATATTTTAATTTCTCAAACCACAGAGTCTATTACAGGAAGCTCTCAGGTGGTGAAACCCCCAAACAGGAAATACAACGCAACACTGCTTGTAAAGCACACACACACACACACACACACACACACACACACACACACACACACACACACACACACACACACACACACACACACACACACACAAGCAGTAAATAAAACGTCAGTTTGATAAATTCATCATTTTCTGTCTGACTGTCACTGGAAACAGCTGTTTCCTGTCTGACCAGCGGAGGATAAACAAGGTTTTATTTCATCTCAGTTTTACAGAAACACATTCATCAGTTTGGTTTCGTGCTGTTAGAAGCTTTGACCTGAAGAGACGCTGCAGAGTGTCGCTGATAAAACCATCAGTCATCGCCTCAACCTGTCTGCCAGAGTCCATTCATATTTTACTGATTAATGTTTGAGTTAGAGCTGCACTGATGTGTCGACCAAACAGAATGAATCATTTAACAGGTAAAATGAAATATAACACACAATATCTTTAATGTTACTCCAACATCCCCCAGTCCCACATAAAATCTCCACGGATACAAATAAATATTAAATAAACAAGAAAATTCCTGCTGCTTGGTGCATATATGATTTTTTGAAAACCGTAATAATTGTCAAAATGCTGATTTAACCAAAAAAAGTCTCAAGTCTTGTGACCAATTTTAAGTTCCAACATGTTTCTAAGTTAAAATAAGACGAAACAGTAGAGCTCCAAAAAAGAGTAGGTTTGGTCATTTTCACATCTCTCCATTCATTTTCAATAAGAACATTTTCTTTGTTCTTCACCATTAACATCGTCATGGTTACTTGAACAGCTTAGAAATGTCATAGCACAACGTTCCCGATCAAGCCACACGTTTTGATATATAATTTGTCTGGGTTTTCTCAAATTTGCAGGACGAGTTACACACCCAAACATTTGTGGAAGAAGAAGAAGAAGAAGAAGAAGAAGAAGTAGTATCCTCTGTGCAACGTAGATCGGACGGACGGACAGACAGACAGACAGACAGACAGACAGGTAGATAGATAGACGGACAGACAGACAGACAGACAGACAGGGACCAGGAGACATCTTGTTTTCAGGTTGTCTGTCTGTACGTACGTCCCATCCTCGTGGACATGAGATCTCAGGAACAGAATATCTCCAGAACTCCTCAAGGGAATCTTCAAATTTAGCACAAATGTCCCTTTGGACTCGAGGACGAACTGATTAGACTTTGGTGATTAAAGGTCAAAGGTCAGGGTCACAGTGACCTTAGAAAACACTTTTTAGCCATTATTCAAGACTTTACACAGAAACTATGACAAAATGTCACATAAATGGTTCATATTTCATATGAAACTGTTTGACTGCAGATAAACAGGATGTGACCTGAAACTAGTCGAGTGGAGGAGGACACAACCACGAGGCGGTGATTCTAGTTTTTATAGCACCAAATCCCAACATTATCTAAGGCTCTTCACAGGGTCAGGTCCAACACTTCACACGGGAGAAAACTTTCTCTTCCTCCTGCAAACGGAGGAATTTGACAATGAAGGTTCTCAGTTCCAGCCCATCGGTATCAACAGGTCTTAGACCGCGGAGCGGTGGGCTCGTCTTCTCTGGAGGGATCCTGAATCTGATGTTGAGGTCTTTCACCTGGTCCAGGAGAACCGTGGGTGCAGACCGTAGAAATTTAACAATGGCTTCCATCTCGGGTAGTTTTCCTACATTTCCACCACCAGCTGCTGGGATTCTGTTGCCTGTTGAAGCAGGATAAGTTGAAGCTAACAAGCTTTTTACTGAGCAGAGCCTCAAAGTCGTTCAGAGGGTCGCCTCCCAGAGGGCAGCAGCTGTTCTCGGTCATTTTTAGATAACGTTAGTTGCTTCCTGTGTGTTGGTGCAGGTTTTAATGCTTCTCTTTGTCGTATATCAGAGTACTCTGGTTATACAGTTGGTTATCTGAGGACGTCAATGACCAGTGACTTTGTTTTGTTCTCAGACTCCGACCACCACAGGACGAGACCTGGCCCTCAGTTTACACTCAACCTTTACAACATTTAATTAAGTGTGTGTGTGTGTGTGTGTGTGTGTGTGTGTGTGTGTGTGTGTGTGTGTGCGCGCAGAGTTAATCATTTTCTTGTTCCTTTGATCTCTCTGTCTCTGACCTCAGTTGAGAAATGTGCCAGTTTGAGTATTTTTAATAAAAAACGGTGTGCGTGTGCGTGTGCGTGTGCGTGTGTTGTAGTGTGTGTTTTCATTAAGCTGTCAGGTCTGTCAGGAAGGTGACGGAGGTCGAAGGTCAGTATGTGGCTCACATTAACAACGCAGCTTCACAGACTCTAAATGAGACCATGAATACCTGCCTCAGGACCAGGACCAGGACCAGGACCAGGACCAGGACCAGGACCCGTCTTTAGGTTCACAGTTCTGTCCTGGCGTCAGTACTGAACATCACATATGATGTCATCTGTGTGGAAACATCCAATCAGAGGGCAGATCCCACTGTCATGTCACTTGGTTTTCTTAAGAAGATTTTCTTTACAGAGATAAAATTCTTTACGTGTCGCCCGAAGCAACACACACACTCACACACACACACATACAAACAGTGCTTCGGGTGAGACTCTAATCTGTCACTCATTTTGACATCTGCTAATTAAACATGCTAATTATAGCTTAATCACACACACACACACAAAAAGTTCAACCTGCTGTTGAAGTGCATGAACAATTATTACAGTGATGACACTGAACACAACACTTCATCAGCTGTCATCATCACTGTCACATGACTCCTCCCCCTGCAGTTTTCATACTGGCTCTAAAATCACAGGAAGTTGTTCGTCCAAAACGATGTTGTTACAGTTTCACGTAGAAACGTCGCTGTTTGTCATACTCACCGGTTTGTGAGAGCAGGGCGGGGCTTAGCAGACCGTGTGGGAGGAGCCTGGAGCCGTCAGTCATTGTGGCCACGCCAAGGGTCCTCTTCGGAGGTCGACCTGGTCGAGAGCTGAGAGAGAAAGTGAAAAACACAGCGGGGTGGCCCCTTAAATAAATCTGCTGACCGCCTTAAAAGACTGGAGAGTATCCACCTTAAATAAAAAGAGCCAATGCAGAGTTCAACAGACATCAATAATTAATCAATACTGCCCCCCCCAGTCTTAATGTTCCAGGTTAATCTCATGTTTTCATTTCATGAATTAATCTGTTTCATCTCTCTCTCCTCAAGGCCTTTATGTTCAGTGTCGATCGTCCCTGTGGAAGATTTTTAGGACACGCACAGTTGGTCTGATACAAGGAAACTGAAGGAGGTGAAATATATTATATATATATACATTACATTACAGATTCAAATTTTCCTCAGTCAGTTTGATTGATTTATTTTGTCTTTAATGTTTTACACTGTAAAAAGTGATGACTATAAATCAAATTAAACTGTTCAAAATAAACTGAATTATATAATAAAAGAGCTGAACATGTTTATTTCAACCTTAAAATAATTTATATGAAATATAAAAATAATGTCTGATAGAAATAATAAATAAAAACAGCTCATTTATCAGGTTTATTCTCAACATGAAACAAAAACAAATCAGTTTCACAATAAAATGAAAAAAATGACTTGGTTACCACGGTTACCTCAAAACAACTAATAACATCAGTGAAAAATCAATGTTTTGACTGGAAAGTAATCAGATTACAAACATGTTCGTGGGACTGCCGACATGGCCGGTTGCCATGGTTACTGCACCTGTCCAAACCTGCTGCCTCAGCTGTTTATGAGCACATACACACACACACACACACACACACACAATGACAGTGTTGGGGGTACACACAGGTCAGTGTTTGATTGACAGGTACAAGACAACCTGCCCACACACACAGTAAATTAAATTCCTCAGTACAGTGTGTGTGTGTGTGTGTGTGTGTGTTTCTACACTTAATTAAATTGAGACAAAATGTCTTTTATCTAACACACACACAGAATAGGTCTTAATTTGTGATTGAAGACAGAGTGTGTGTGTGTGTGTGTGAGAGAGAGAGAGAGACTATAAATTGTGCAGACAATATGGTTGCCCTCGACAACGTGTGATTTACTGCAGAGCATCAGAGTCATTGACACAGCTGAGCGTGTGTGTGTTCAGTTCAGTTAACACAAACACACACACCCTGTGATATAGGGTTAGGGTTGTATATATGTGTGTGTGTGTGTGTGTGTGTGTATATATATATATATACACACACACACACACAGTATATACACACACATATATGTGTGTGTATATAGACCCCAGTAGGAGGATTTTCCTCCCTGAACTGAGAGTAGGTTTACAGTCCAAACACACACACACACACACACACACACACACATCAGTTTAATAAGAATCAGGAGATTAAAGCTGATTAACAAAAACAGCCTGTACCACAGTTAAACTGATTTCATCACTGTCATTCCTAATTTAACACTTGTCACACACACACACACACACACACACACACACACACACACACACACACACACACACACACACACGGCCTCTTTTTGTTAAATCCATAATTAGTTGAGGCTCATTTACATAATTTGATCATAACAGAAAAAACATTTTGATCCACATTCAGCAGTAATCTACCTACATGTGATTACACACACACACACACACACACACACACACACACACACACCTGGAGGCAACACAAACAAATTTGGCGTAAAGACTGTGTGTGTGTGTGTGTGTGTGTGTGTGTGTGTGTGTATGTATGTGTGTGTGTTTGGTGTTTCTCTGCTCTGCTTCCTGTTTCATCGTGTGTGCCTTAGCCCCTCCCCTCATGGTATCTTAGCCCCTCCCCTCAGACGCAGGATCGAGTCACTGTGATAAAAGTGTTGTACGTCCCTCTGAGTCAGGACAAACACCAGTGTAGTTTAACACTCAGTGTCTGTGGTAACCGTGGTGACCCTGGTGACTGTGGTAACCATGGTGACCGTGGTGTTAGCAGTTCTGCTGCTGTTAGCAGTGAGGCTGTCTGTATGAAGCTAACTGAATCTGCAACAGGATGAAACCTGGTACAGTCCCCCAGTCTCTGAGAACCTACCGGACTCATTCTGGTTACACAAGGACAGAAGGACTCCCTGAACCAGACCTGGTACCACAGGCTCCCACAGTACCCAGAATCCTAGAGTACCACAGGCTCCCACAGTACCCAGAATCCTAGAGTACCACAGGCTCCCACAGAACCCTGACTCCCACAGTACCACAGGCCCCCACAGTACCCAGAATCCTAGAGTACCACAGGCTCCCACAGTACCCAGAATCCTAGAGTACCACAGGCTCCCACAGTACCCAGAATCCTAGAGTACCCTGACTCCCACAGTACCCAGAATCCTAGAGTACCCTGACTCCCACAGTACCCAGAATCCTAGAGTACCCTGACTCCCACAGTACCCAGAATCCTAGAGTACCCTGACTCCCACAGTACCCAGAATCCTAGAGTACCACAGGCTCCCACAGTACCCAGAATCCTAGAGTACCCTGACTCCCACAGTACCACAGGCGCCCATATTCGGGGTGTCAGGTGTAAATTAGAACCTTATGGCTGGTGTTTCTCACTTGGATTTTAAAATGAAACTGGATCCATAAAATATTGACACCTGGTGCCCATGTATCAATATCCTGATTGATGATGTGTGTCAACAGGTGTTTTCATCCAGACTTAGGAAGGTTCAGTGGGAGTGAAGCTACAGTGGCCTGGATGGACCAAACAGAGCCTGATGGAAGAGAAGTGACACACAGGTGTGATCTGACAGGGGAAGGAGCTTCCTGCTGCAGGTGAGTCCGTTCAGTCAAACTAACTGCAGCACTGAAGTGTGTGTGTGTGTGTGTGTGTGTGTGTGTGTGTGTGTGTGTGTGTGTGTGTGTGTGTGTGTGTGTGTGTGTGTGTCTGTCTGTGTGCCTCGGGCTTTGCTGCTGGCAACATACTTGTCCATATGGTACTCACACACACACACACACACACACACACACACACACACACACACACACACAATAATAATGATTATTAATTTTTCAGATGTTTCTTGTGTCCTGCCTGAGGTCTGTAATACAACACATTCTATTCTATTCAACTATTCAACTCTGTTCTATTTATTCTGTCTCTGTGCAGCTGATGACATCATCTTCCTCTAGTTCATTTACAGAAACGATATAAACATGTTCAAACTTGATCAGTTGAATAATTGATTGGTTGTTAATCAATAATATAAGTATTGTTGATAACGAGTTCATTGTTTCAGTCAAACTGTTGTTTTCAGTCACTGAGTCTCAGTCGGACGTTTCCCGCTCTTTCAGCTGCAGCCTCACTGATCTCTGTTCTGATCAATACCTGATCACATTTCCTGCTCACCGCGACCACCGCTCACCTCTATCTGACATGATGATGATGATGATGATGATGATGATGAAGCTCCTCACTGTCAAAACCAGTATCTGTCTAACCCTAACCCTTTCATTTATTTATTGATTTATTAATTTGATGTTTATGGTTTGATTTACTTCGTTGATCCTCAGTTGTGTCAGTATCATCTAATTGATCTCAGATTCACTGTGTCAGTTGTTTTGGACGGAACAGACGATCAGCCGTCACATTGTTGGATCATGAAGTAACAAAAATAACAGAATTTAAAATCTATTAGTTCGTTAAAACGAGTCGTTCACTGAAGATTCACATGATTAACTCTCATGTTTGTATTTCATCAGTTCACATACTGACAAACAGATTGAACTGATTATTAGCTGATATCAGGATCAATAATCAGAGAGTAAAATGATCAGTCCGGTTGAAAGGCTTTTATTTATTTCTATTTTAATGTTCAAACCAGAGACGGAAGGATTGATCGATCAACAGATAATCAATCATATACTGTTTTCACCATCTTTAAAGCAAAATATTATTTCAATAAAATGACAGTTTCTTCTCTTTAGATTTCATCTCTCAGATTTTTAGACGATCGATTAACTGAGAAAATACCAGATTTATTGATCATTAAAATAATAATGATGATAACAGATTTATTGATAATTAATATAATAGTCATAATCATTAAAATAATTAAAATAATTTATTGATCATTAAAATAATAATCAGTTTTTGCTCTAGTTTCATCACACTGTCCACATTATATCATGTATTATATACTGTTCTTACCTATATAGACATTTAACTACATATGTAATATGTAACTCACAGATCATGGCAACTGAACTCAGTCTGATGTTTTCTAATATTTTAATCTCACTTCTCTAATTTCTTTATTTGACTAATTCATTTATTTAAATTTGAAGTTTTCTAACCTTTGACTTTGTGTCTGGAACTGATTTTATTCCTATAAAAAATATTAATATTATTATTTCATATAATAATTTCACAGTCTGTAGATAGAGGCTCAGATCTCAGACCAGCTGGTCTCATGTTGATCCAGTATCTGAACCTGGACTGAGTTAAAGAGAAAAAATTCAGTAAGAAAGTAAAAGATCCACAAACAACTGAGACACAATAAAAAGTGAAATACCAATAATTAAATCTGATGTTTGTCTGTTTGTTTTCTTTAAGAGGATTTCCTGTGTTTTTGTTAGAAACCCTACCCCCTGTGTTCACCTGAACCGGTCTAAACCCGCCTCACCTGGCGTTGGTGCAGTCCCGGTACAGCGTCTCGAAGTCGGCCCTGGTGATGAGCTTGCAGCGGTTCACTCCGGGCTGGATGGCGCCGAGTCCCCGCAGAACGCGGACCTGCTCCACGGTGCAGACCACCGGGCTGATGTCCAGGCGCTTCAGCTTGGTGTAGACGGTGTGCAGCCCGCCCACCAGGTGCTTCAGGAACAGCTCGAACACCTGCGGCAGGCAGATCAGCTCCACGCCGTTCACCGTGAACGACGCCACCTTCACCCCGTGGACCTCCACCATCTTACACTCGGTGTGTGGAGCCGCGCCACCGCCGCCTCTCGTCCCGTTCACACTGAGCGGGACTCTGCCGCTCCCGCCGCTCAGAAACGCTCCAGACAGGCGAGCAGCGGGGAGCCGCGGGGAGCTGGCCGGGTTAGGAGCGCTATAAAGCGGGTCGGAGTGGAAGAGAGGGTCGATGGGCGGGGTGGAGGTCCCGGACAGAGGGGTGTTGGAGGATCCCGCCATGATAACGAAGAAGAAGAAGTTTTCTTTTCTTTCTCTTCTTTTTGTTCTGTGTTCATCTGTGATTTTCCCGCGTCTGTCTCTCTCTGTTCGCGCCACTCTGCCTGAAGAGCCTCCGCTCTCTCTCTCTCTGATCAGTCCCGCTCTGTGTGAAGGTCTCTCCACCTCTCTCGCTCTGCACTGCACCTGCCTCTCTCTCTCTGTCTCTCTCTCTCTGTCTCTCTCTCTCTCTGTCTGTCTCTCTCTCTCTGTCTCTCTCTCTCTGTCTCTTTCTCTCTCTCTCTCTCTCTCTCTCCCACTCAGAGCCAATCAGGATCCAGCCAATCACAGGCAGGGACCGCACACGGACAGGCGTCCCATTGGCTGAGAGGGCGGGGCCGGGGAATTGAACAGGTGAAACCCATCTGCTTGTTGAGATGTTTTTCTGATTTATCAATTAGTTTATTGTTTTATTGTTTGTTAGCTGTTTGTTACTGAATCAGCTGATGAGTTTCCATCAATATTATTGATTATTAATCTTCTCTGCTTCACCTCCAGTCACTGGTTTCAGCTGTTTCCAGTAAAGATAATAAATTCATGAAATTTCAGAGTGATGAAGGAAACCACCTCATACATCAACTGAGTTTCAAATTAAAAGCGCAGCATCAAATTAAAAGCATCAAATTAACCTTTGCAGAGCGGAGCAGATTAAATGTCAGAGAAAAACACCTGAATACATCACATCCAGGTGATCTATCGGTCCGCACAGTCTGAACCAGGACTCAGAGACTTCCTGCACACCGTCAGGTTTAAAGGAAGATCTCCGTGGAAACCAGTTCCAGTCATGTCAGCATCAACGTGGCAACAGTTCATCATCATAAATACATTTAAATCAAAGTCAAGAAGAAATCAAACAATTCACAGGAGATCCTGGTCCTGAATCTGATCCTGGTCCTGAATCTGATCCTGGTCCTGAATCTGATCCTGGTCCTGATCCTGATCCTGATCCTGATCCTGATCCTGAACCTGATCCTGGTCCTGAACCTGATCCTGGTCCCGAACCTGAATCTGAACCTGATCCTGATCCTGATCCTGATCCTGAACCGGATCCTGGTCCCGAACCTGAATCTGAACCTGATCCTGATCCTGAACCGGATCCTGGTCCCGAACCTGAATCTGATCCTGATCCTGATCCTGAACCTGATCCTGATCCTGGTCCCGATCCTGAATCTGAGCCTGATCCTGATCCTGAACCTGATCCTGGTCCTGAACCTGAATCTGAACCTGATCCTGGTCCCGAACCTGAATCTGATCCAGATCCTGATCCTGGTCCTGAATCTGATCGTGATCCTGGTCTTGAATCTGATCGTGATCCTGAACCTGATCCTGGTCCCGAACCTGAATCTGATCCAGATCCTGATCCTGGTCCTGAATCTGATCGTGATCCTGGTCTTGAATCTGATCGTGATCCTGAACCTGATCCTGGTCCCGAACCTGAATCTGAACCTGATCCTGATCCTGATCCTGATCCTGAACCTGATCCTGGTCCCGAACCTGAATCTGAACCTGATCCGGGTCCCGAACCTGAATCTGATCCTGATCCGGGTCCCGAACCTGATCCTGATCCTGATCCTGAATCTGATCCTGATCCTGGTCCTGAATCTGATCCTGATCCTGGTCCTGAATCTGATCGTGATCCTGGTCCTGAATCTGAACCTGGTCCTGATCCTGGTCCTGGTCCTGATCCTGATCCTGGTCCCGAACCTGAAACTGAACCTGATCCTGGTCCTAAACTTGGTCCTGAACCTGGTCCTGAATCTGATCCTGGTCCTGAATCTGATCCTGATCCTGATCCTGAATCTGATCCTGATCCTGATCCTGAACCTGATCCTGGTCCTGAACCTGATCCTGGTCCCGAACCTGAATCTGAATCTGAACCTGAACCTGATCCTGGTCCTGATCCTGATCCTGAATCTGATCGTAATCCTGGTCCTGAATCTGAACCTGGTCCTGATCCTGATCCTGGTCCTGGTCCTGATCCTGATCCTGATCCTGATCCTCGTCCCGAACCTGAATCTGAACCTGATCCTGGTCCTGAACCTGGTCCTGAATCTGATCCTGGTCCTGGTCCTGATCCTGAATTGATGACGGACCAATAATATCATTTTCACCAGACAGATTATTGATGAATTTATAGATGATCAGAATACAGATTAGCAGAAGAGTCACGTGACCATCGCGAGGGATGTAGATGCTTCGCTTCGTCGCTCCGCAGAACCCCCCAATATTTAAGCATTAATTTCATATCCAACGCTACTTTTCACGCTCTCGGTTAATTTTTTCTGTTTTGTGGAAACTTTGTGCATACTGTCGTCAATGTGGAGCTCGCCGAGCTAGTTAAGCTAGTTAAGCTAGTTAAGATAGTAGTTGCAGAGGCTATCAAGGAGGCTACCCCCACACTCGTGGAAGACGTGGTGTCTCAGCTGACTAACAAGACACAGGCTCTGGTGGATGCACAGGTCGCGGATGTTTGCCATGCAAGCTGATATTTCTAAGTGTATGGACTATATGGAGAAGGACGAGAATCGTGTGGTGGAGGTGGACAGTCGGCTCTCTTCGTCGGTGAGCAAACTGGCAGAAAAACACACCCAGCTGGAGGACAGAATTGCCGACATGGAGGACAGGTCGCGCAGAGATAACCTACGTGTGCACGGAGTCCCTGAAAACGCAGAGACATTGCATGTTCTTGCTTTCCTGTCGGATGCCATACCATGGTGGTTTCCTAACCTGGGATCTGTTGAAATTATGCATGCACACCGCGTTAAAATGGACATACTTCCTCGTGTTAATTTTTGCTCTTCCATGATCCCTCTCGCTCCCCCTTTGGGATACTAGGATAAACTTCAGTCATTAGTTTCTGAGTTTATATGGAAAGGAAAAAGGCCTCGCCTAAAACTCACAACTCTCCAGCGAGACAAGAACCAAGGGGGGCTAGCTCTGCCAGATTTTAAAATCTATTTCTGGTCCTATGTGCTACACCCCCTATCTACATGGTTTAACCCTAGTTCTTCTGTTTCTTGGAGACCAATTGAGGAGAATATTGCACTACCCCACAGGTTGCAAGACCTGGTGTACGCTGACATACCATTGAAAAAAGCCAAATCACGTTTAGGCCCTGTTATTTCATTTTTACTTGCATCTTACCGTACTGTAATGAAGATTATAAATGGCATAATCACATAACAATTTTCAATAATTTCTCACTTCTTACTGGTAATATTCCCTTTTCATTTCCGCATTGGAAAAATAGAGGAGTGAATATACTAAAGGATCTATATTGTGTCCATGGTTTACGTGCTTTTAACGATCTAAAAGCAGAATTTGATCTTCCGGGTTCATCCTTTTTCTTCTATATGCAGTTAAGATCAGCTATGCGGGCGTACGGTGTCCCGTGGGGAGCAGCTCTCCCCACACACCCTCTACGTAAGTTGCTTGCCTCAGTAGGACCTACACGGGGGATGGTTTCTAAACTTTACAAATTCATTTCTGGACCCTATAAATCCTTACCAGTAGAGGGCATTTGGAATAGAGATTTAAATGAAGTAAATGATAGAGAGATTTGCTGGGACACAGTGAGGAAAAACCTTAGTGGTACTTCCAAAAACCCCAACCACCAGTTAATACACTATAAATATGTTCACAGGATGTATCTCACCCCCAGAAGGCGTCATTCTATGAAGATTGCCACATCTCCGAATTGTGATCTTTGCTCACTTAATGCCCAGGAGTCATTCTTGCATGTTTATTGGGAGTGGTTGGATTCTGGAAGGAAATATCTCTCACTTTAAGTGATATTCTTAAGATCAGGATCCCAGTCTCCCCAGCCTTACTTTTGCTTAATGATGACTCTTCTTTAAACTTGTCCCTGCAGCATAAACGTATTCTATGGGCCGGTCTCACAGCAGCCAAGAAAATGCTGGCCCTTAGGTGGCAACCGCGTTCAATATTGTTACCTCCCTGAAAATGTGTAAGTGATTTTGTATCTGTTTGCACTCACTGCGTGGGGAGGGAAAAAAAGGGAGAAAAACAATGTATATGATGTAAACATATATATTTTGTAAATTTTTCAATAAAAAAGTTGATCACAGAAAAGAATACAGATTAGCAGGTGTGTTTCACTGTCTCAGGTTCACGGGGTCGTGGTTTATATTCAGTCCTTTAATGACAAACGTTTACAACACGATCAGTGAAACGTAAAACTAAATGTACATTTATTATGAACTGTCAGTCGCACCTGTCCACAAATATCTCAACAACCACTGGGTTCATGGTGAGGACGAGGTTCACAGCTTTGGAGGAAACAAGGAGACGAGGAGGAGACAATGAGGAGACGAGGAGGAGAGTTTTTAACCATCTGGTCTTTTTAAGAAGAAGAAAGGAGAAACAAAAAGAAACAGTCCGTGAGTCTGGCTGCACATCACTCAGTGTGTGTGTGTGTGTGTGTGTGTGTGTGTGTGTGTGTGTGTGTGTGTGTGTGTGTGGAGGACTTGGCAGAGTCAGAAAGCACCACAGAAGAAGAAGTTGTTGCCAGAGCTCCAGCAGTGACTCACTGAATCAGACAATTATCAATCAATCAACTGATGATCAGAAACTTCATACAGACACAGCTGCTGCTCATAACACTGACTCACAGGTACAGGTACTGTGTGTGTACAGGTACAGGTACTGTGTGTGTACAGGTACAGGTAGTGTATGTGTACAGGTACAGGTACTGTGTGGGTACAGGTACAGGTACTGTGTGTGTACAGGTACAGGTAGTGTATGTGTACAGGTACAGGTACTGTGTGGGTACAGGTACAGGTACTGTGTGTGTACAGGTACAGGTAGTGTATGTGTACAGGTACAGGTACTGTGTGGGTACAGGTACAGGTACTGTGTGTGTACAGGTACAGGTAGTGTATGTGTACAGGTACAGGTACTGTGTGGGTACAGGTACAGGTACTGTGTGTGTACAGGTACAGGTAGTGTATGTGTACAGGTACAGGTACTGTGTGGGTACAGGTACAGGTACTGTGTGTGTACAGGTACAGGTAGTGTATGTGTACAGGTACAGGTACTGTGTGGGTACAGGTACAGGTACTGTGTGTGTACAGGTACAGGTAGTGTATGTGTACAGGTACAGGTACTGTGTGGGTACAGGTACAGGTACTGTGTGTGTACAGGTACAGGTAGTGTATGTGTACAGGTACAGGTACTGTGTGGGTACAGGTACAGGTACTGTGTGTGTACAGGTACAGGTAGTGTATGTGTACAGGTACAGGTACTGTGTGGGTACAGGTACAGGTACTGTGTGTGTACAGGTACAGGTAGTGTATGTGTACAGGTACAGGTACTGTGTGGGTACAGGTACAGGTACTGTGTGTGTACAGGTACAGGTAGTGTATGTGTACAGGTACAGGTACTGTGTGGGTACAGGTACAGGTACTGTGTGTGTACAGGTACAGGTAGTGTATGTGTACAGGTACAGGTACTGTGTGGGTACAGGTACAGGTACTGTGTGTGTACAGGTACAGGTAGTGTATGTGTACAGGTACAGGTACTGTGTGGGTACAGGTACAGGTACTGTGTGTGTACAGGTACAGGTAGTGTATGTGTACAGGTACAGGTACTGTGTGGGTACAGGTACAGGTACTGTGTGTGTACAGGTACAGGTAGTGTATGTGTACAGGTACAGGTACTGTGTGGGTACAGGTACAGGTACTGTGTGTGTACAGGTACAGGTAGTGTATGTGTACAGGTACAGGTACTGTGTGGGTACAGGTACAGGTACTGTGTGTGTACAGGTACAGGTAGTGTATGTGTACAGGTACAGGTACTGTGTGGGTACAGGTACAGGTACTGTGTGTGTACAGGTACAGGTAGTGTATGTGTACAGGTACAGGTACTGTGTGGGTACAGGTACAGGTACTGTGTGTGTACAGGTACAGGTAGTGTATGTGTACAGGTACAGGTACTGTGTGGGTACAGGTACAGGTACTGTGTGTGTACAGGTACAGGTAGTGTATGTGTACAGGTACAGGTACTGTGTGTGTACAGGTACAGTCTGGTCACCTTCCTGGTTCCCACAGCATGAAATGGGTGTAAAAGATAAATGATAATAATAATGTAAATGTGCAGCTACAGAGCGAGGAAGCTAGCTCACATACCAAGGTCGTAGTTCTCAAACACTTGTTTAAAACTTCCCAGACAGTTGAGAAAGTAAAGCCTCCATGTTTCTGGTTAGAAATAACTGGCTACAAATATAGTACACATCATGCATGATAGCTTGTTAGGCAGGCAAGAAGTAAACCCTTTATGTAATTTATTGATTAGACACCTGGTCATGAGAATCTGCTGTGCTATTGTGCCACACACAGGTATGTGACGTTCCTCTTTGTTATTTTAATATGTACATTTTATTTTGTATTGATAATTTAGTTTTCTTTAAAAACATAGAGTATATTTTCATGTATGCTCATGTTTATCTTTTCATAGTAATTCATAAAACATTTGCTGGCGGGTGAGAAAATAACTCTAACAGGGAGACTGTAATTAAACAATCAAAATGTGACATGTTTTGTTTATTGATGTCAGATAGAGAGTGGTAAATCTGAGTCCTCATTTCATCTCTTTTCATTGACCAATACGACGCAGAGTTTGTGGTAAAATGGAGTGTCAGGCCGTGTAAAGCTGGTTCTATCATTTTACTGTGGGTTGTGAATATCAAGTGTCCAAAGAGAAACATGTCTGATGTTTAAAATGTAAGTTTCATAGTAACTTTCACCTTGTTACTGAAAAAGAATAAACTGGAGTAAATCACTGACTGCTGCTGAGATGATGATTCATCAGCTGTGTGTTTGATAAATGGTGAACTACAGAATTTAGTTTCACTAAGAACATTTAGAAACATTAGTGTGTTTACTCAGGAGGTGAAACAGGTTCAGTGATTCTATAGAAAAATACAGTGAGAGAGTGAGCTCTGTAGCTTTAATGTTTCATGTGTTAAATTGTTTATAATAATATTGACTGAAATATTTTTTATGTGTTCAGTGTCTACAGTCAGTCCTGTCTCTGATGTTCTGGTCTAGTGAGATGTTGTACAACATTAGAGGAACATGAGGTGAAATATTAAGAAAAGCAGAACAGAGATCATCATCCTGTTTGTTAATGCAGCTCTTTGATGGAGGGAGAAGATCCAGTGATTCCAGTAGATGATGAGACTCCCAGCTGGGTTTCCAGGAACCTGGATCTGCACTGAAACAGCTGGATCAACATCTGCTCTGAGGTAGGATGGAGTCACTCACCAGGACAGGTACTTACAGAGTGCACCTGACTCATCACACCTCCATCTGGTCTGAGCTCAGAGTGGTCAGACCAGTTGTGGACTGACTGAAGTTGGTTAACCCCTGAACACATTTCAGGATCAGAAACTTTCCTTACTTTCAGCCCTGGTTTATATTTACAGTCTATTATAGCCACTGTCTTTGGCTGAGGTGTTGTATAGCCTGATGGCAGTGGGAACAAAGGATCTCCTGAACCTCTCTGTTCTGCAGTGAGATGAGACGTTTTCTGCAGCTGGAGCTGCTTCTCTGTCCTGCCAGAATATTGTGGAGAGGATGGTTGGTATTGTCCAAGATGGCCTCCATCTTACATTGCATGCGTCCCTCCACAACACTGAGAGTAAGTCTCTTGACTCACAGGAGCAACAACCTGAGGATGAGACAAGAGCAATCTGTTTTACCAGTTAGCACAGAAGCTAGCAGCTGACTCTTCACCCCTGCGTTTGTGTGCATGCTCTGTAAATGCACGTGATGACATCACTCCTGAGAGTTGTGTGTGTCCTCAGTCCGAACAGAAAGACAAACTGGACTGACAGTGGAAAAAAAGTCAATCAACTTTTATTAGAGGGTTTACCTGTGTTTAAAAACCTGCTGATACATGCTAATTCTGGTGGAAAAGGATTTTAGTGTGTATTGTAGAGTGAAATCTGAAAGGAAACTAGGTCCAAGTCCATGTTCTTATAGGTCAGGGTGAATACTGTAAAATCAGCTATAGTGTGTACATGCAGGCAGTTCAGGATAGGAGTGATGGGATCAGACTTCCAGGTTCTGGCTTGATTTCTTGCATCAGTGTTCTGAAGAAGCAGCAGGCTGTTGATGGATGTTATTGGCAGTTTCACAGGGTGACGATAGGAAGATGTGACTGTGGATAAGACCTGCCTACATTTGACTGTTTTGCTCTGAGAGATGAAACTTCCATCAAACTAGCACAGCACAATTGATTGAAATGTAATTGAAATCACAGTATGGCCAAGTCCAATATCTAAATCACAGGAGCTGCAAAAACGTTTTTTTGATGAAGGTAAAATGTATCACATCGTTGTGCATTGTTAGCATTAGCATTGTTAGCACCATCAGTGTTGTGGTGCTACAGAGACGCCCCGAGCTACAAATCATATTCTCCAGACGCAGAGGAACATGTTGGTTTGGTTCATGATGAGAGCAATGATCCAACCAAATTTCATGAACATGCAAGGACCATTATCCCAACATGCCCTTCGCTTGGGGGTGTGATGGAGCCTGACAGAATGATTTTTGCTAGGCTCGACGTGTGCCATGATTTAGCGAGCATCCTAATGCCTTCAAGAATACATTTTTCCTGCAGAACAATAATAATAATAATCTCTACAAAATAATAAGTTCCTGGCACCCTTGGTACTTGGGACTTAATAAACAAGATGTGATCAAATAAAAGTTACACACAGTTGCCATGATTATTTTTCCTTTATATACCTTTTAATATTGCTGTAATGAGCTGCAGCTGATGGCTAATTAATATTAGATATCACTGTATTACACATGCCTTCTTCTGCACTGCTTCAGTTATAGCTACGATTGCAGCTTTGTTCTATAGATTCATCCTCTGCCTCCAGATCATCTCTACAGGTGAACAAGGCCATGGTGTAACGTGCTGCGTGTTCTCCAAACACCGTCTGAATGAGTTTCACTGTTTCTTCTTCGTCTTTTGTGAATCTGCCCAACTGGATCACCACCAGGAACGCATGAGGACCAGGAGCAGCATATGATACACATTTACTGAACACTATCAGAGCAGGGCGTCCCTCTCTATCTTCAAGAACCTGATGAAGACTCATCTCTTCAGAGAGGCCTCCTCTCACCCTAACATGTCTAACTAGCTCTCACTATCACCTTTCATTGCACTTCTTTACCTGATCTTCACTTATTAAATAGATGTAGTGCTCAGTTCTTACACCAAATGCTCCTACTGCACTGGAGCTTTAGTGATGTTCCTTACTTGTAATTCACTTTGGATAAGAGCTTCTGCCAAATGAGTAAATGTAAATAAATAAATGCTGTGTGATGAACCAAATGCCAGTTCAATGTTGACACTAATCAGATTCCAGAAAAGCTGTTGGTCGACCACTTGCCGGCCATGGAAGTTGGAATCCATCAACGAGTATGTACCAACTATGGCTCATGCCATAGCATCAGGCCCATACCTGCTCTCAGCATGGAAGCTACACTGACTAATGTAGTGTATATATGTCAGTGCAGTGGGGAAAGCACAGACCTGTACACTGGAGAAACAAAACAACAGCTTTACAAGTGTATGGCACAACACAGGAAAGAGATCAACACTGCTGTCTCTGATGGATGGGGTCATGAACAGATTGAATAAGATTGAATGTATCGATAAGCAACATGAAGATATTATTGATATATGATTGTAATTAATATTTCAAAACATTTTTATAGGAAGATTTTGTTTTTTGGTGCCACTAAAAACAGGTATTCTGCATGATCTCACAAGGGGATACACCATAACAAAAGAAAATGAACTCAAAATAAGGATTTATTAAGAAACAAGGCAGAATATATGATACAAATGACCAGACTGAGCCATCACTATCTCTCAAACAAGAAGTTCAAAGGTCTATACCAGTGATTAGATGTGTTGAACATGGAGTACTATCATCAATGAAGGAAATAAACAAGATATTCAAAAAGTAAAACTGTATTCAAATGCTAAACTCTCCTAATACACTGGATGAGCAGCCAAAGCTTCAAATGAGGGCCATACATCAGACATAGGTGGGATACCGCTGGAATTTACTTCTATATTCTTGGACGAGTGAGGTTAGAAACATTACATTATTCAGTTGAAAGTGGTGCTTTCCATAAAGATCTAAACTCAGCCCTGATCACAGTTATACCTTAGGCCATAAGGATGTCTTGGAATGTGCCAGTTACCATTTAATCTCATTGATAAATGCCGACCTCAAGATATTTTCTGAAGTCAATAGTCTTGACACGGTAGTTGGGAAAATAATTAGCCTTTACCATATCTATCGACCCATTGGTACAATTAATGAGAAACTCTCCTCAGATCTTACATTAGGCGCAACATCACATTTGATATCATTTTATGCTGACGACACATTAGTTTATGTGGCAGATGTTCAACAAACGCTCCCCTATGTTTTAAAAACACTAGAGTAATCTGAATATCTTTGAGGATACAAAGTTAATCTGCTAAAATCAGTACTGATGCTGATTAATGTAGACAAAAATAAGGTGTCTCTCCTTCTTCAGATAACGTGACAAATGAAGTCCTCTACTTGAAGTATTGAAGTTGGTACTTCCCTGTCGTCTGTGGCTGAAACAAACTACTATTTAACTTTGACAAAAATAGAAGATAATAATAGATGGAAACACCTGCCATCATCAGCCACAGTTCATATGTCGTCACATCAAAGTGAACGTCTTGACAAAAACTGGACTCACTACTACGAAGCTATGTTTGGAACAGTAAACGACACAATATAAAATCCAGTGGGAGATTGGCATGTCCAAATTTCAAACTGTATCACTGGGCAGTTGTATTATAGAGTCTTAGTTATTGGAGGAGGACAAAGTTTCTTCACTGAAAAATATAGAACAAGAGTTAATAGCACCAATAAGCTTAAAGGACTTTCTCTTTATAGGTTTATTAATTAATTAATTAATTAAAGTGCAGTGCGTCCAGATTCTTCAGTGACTTTAAATCACATATTACAGAATATGACGTGGATTGTTTTGGACTGAAGAGATCACCAGTGTCTCTTTAATCACATGTTGAATAATGATTATTGAAACTAAAATGCGGATGATCTCTAACATTAACAGAAAACTACCTGCTGGTGAAGATGATGCGTTCAAGAACAGAAGCAGAAAAATAAACGAGATGTGATCAAAACAAAGTTACACACAGTTACCATGATTATTTTCCCTTTATATCATTTTAATATTGTTGTAATGAGCTGCTGATGATCGCTAATTATATATTATAATTAAAAATATCACTGTGTAGCACATGCATTAGTTTTCACTGCTCCAGTTATAGCCCCCACCGCAGCTCCCACCGCAGCCCCCACCGCAGCTCCCAGTGCACTTCCCATTCGACCCCCCACGGATCCAGCAGCGGCTCCTAAACTTGCTCCTAATGAAACCCCCTGTAGAACGGCCCGTGTAAAGGGGTTATCTTCCTCTGCCCTTCTTCTCGCCTCGTCAGGCTCCATATCTGGATTTTCTTTCTGAAGACGTTCCATTTCTTCCTTTATTGCTCTTTCTGCCTCTTGGAACATTTTGTTAGTGTAGTAGTTTCCTCCATTTCTCTGAACCATGGTGTTGATCTTCTTCAGCAGCTCACGGACTTGAGATGGTTTCTTCTTTCTGTTGTTGAAAACGTGGTATCCTCCAAGGCACTGACCGAGGAACTCACTGAGAGTCTTATTTTGACCAATGAAATCTTCTATAGAGACTCTGTCCTTCTCCAGCTGGTCTCCACGGGTGAACAAGACCATGGTGTAAGATGCTGCCTCTTTTCCAAACACCATCTGAATGATTTTCACTGTTTCTCGTTCTTCTTTTGTGAATTTACCCGGCTGGAGCACAACCAGGAACACATGAGGACCTGGAGCAGCCAATGAGATGGATTTCGTGATTTCCTTTTTCACCTCCTCTTGAGTTTTACTGGTGTCAAACAGACCTGGAGTATCAACAACCGCCAGTGTTTGACCATCAAACTCTGCTGTTTTCTTCAGACACTTTAATGTCACTGAAGAAGAAGACATCTCGGATTGAAAAACCTTCTTCTTTAAGATAGTGTTTCCTGATGAACTTTTCCCAGCTCCAGTTTTCCCAACAAGTACAATCCTGAGTTCTGACTCCTCTGACTCTGTTGGAGAATTTCACAAACACATTACTGATGTTGTAAAGAACAAACTCTAACTCCTCTGTTGCATAATCTGAATCTCTATATGATTTCACAGATAAACCCCTGAAAACAAAGTGCTGTCTTGTTATTTTCAGACCATAGAGCTGACAGGGTTAACAGTCAGTAATGGGCTGAAGAATCACCTCTTCATGGTCGTATCCCTCCTCCACTCAGACTAGTTTTAGGTCATGTCCCTGTTTATCCAGAGTCAGATAAAATATGAACCATCTGTGTGAAATTTTGTCATAAATGCTGTGACGTCTTGAGTAATAGCTAAAAAGGGTTTTGTGAGGTCACACTGGCCTTTACCTTTGACCTTTAGCCACCAAAATCTAATGGGTTTGTGCTTGACTCCAAGTGAACGTGTTTACCAAATTTAAAGAAGTTCCCTCAAGGCGTTACTGAGATACTTTGTCCATGAGAATGAGACAGACGGACAACCTGAAAACAAAATGCTTCTTTTATTTTTAAAAATTTTTGAAACGTCTTTCTCTGTTGACTCCGCCCACAGCCGCTCATCACTCTGCTAGTGTAGCGGTGCTCCTGCTGCTCCTCTGGACTGAACGTACTGCAGGTGAAACACTGACTGTAGATCAGGGGCTGGTCACACAAAACACCTCAAGTTAAGATTTCCTTCAAATAAAAACAGTTGCACAAAACACCCTTAAATCTTCTCCTTAATGTTTCCTTAAATGTTCACTGAAGTATTTAAGCTTAACCTTAAGTATCTCCCTCAGCTCAGGAGAAATTAAACCTTAAGTGCCATATTTAAGTAGAAAACTTGGTGTTTTGTGCAACTGGCCCCAGGACCTCACATAGCCCCACGTCAGATCACCTGACCTCCACCTCTAACCCGCTCTGAGGCAGAGAGCTCAGTTTGTAATCTGGTCTGACACCATGTGGTGTTTTCTTATGAATCTTATCAATACGTTGATAGAAAACATGTTCTGCTAATTAACTGGGAACGGTCCTAAACATTTACCACTCGGTCCTCGTGGGGCCCTGGAGAGCCCCCCCCAGGTTTTTATAAATATATTTCTACATTACATAGATAGATGGATATTTTGATATATCATAATAATATAATGATACATTATCCATCCCTGTGTCCAGCAGTACAACATTAAAAATAAAGTTACAAATAGATCATTCAATAATGTAAATAATAGATAAATAATAGTAAAAACTGAAGAGCTGTGAGATCCCATCAGGATGTTTGTTGTTCATTGTTCCTGATTCGCCGCTCAGCGACCAGAAGTTTTCCTAATTCTGTTTCCTGTCACCACAACTGGTGGAAACCACATCCAGCAGGATCCCTGCTTTTTAATGTTTCACCACAAATGGAAATTCCTGAGAGAATCTGTGGTTTCAGATGAGATGGACTCAGGAAACAGACGGAGCTCACACAGGCTGCACTCTGAAATCACTGAAATCATGTGTTTGTGCTTTTATTAGTTTAGTTTTATTCATTTATTTATTTGATAGTGACAATGCAATTTAACATAGTTTCAAAGCAACATGTGAAACTAACTTGTTGCACAGAGTTTATAGCTGTTTCTAATTCTCCACTTCTCCATTTCTCCATTATTTCATAAATTCACCTTATAAAGAGTTCATGCATAGAACATAATACCAGAGTGTTTCTGTCACAAAAATAATCTCTCACCGTGCAAACACATCATTCAGCCCAAATGCTTAAAAACTGAAGCCTGGTTTTTGAAATTCTTCAAATCTCTTGTGAAAACAAACTTTTACTGATGTGGATCAAATGTATTGGTGCTTGAAATGTGTTCACCAAAGTCTATAGGTTCATGACAACAGCACAATAGTAGATAAATGGATAATAAATGCCTAAAATGAAATTTTTGAGTCATAGTGTCGTCTGTCACGCTGCTTTAACCAGATTTTTAGAGGCTGTGAGTCACGTACGATCTCATAAGAATATGTAAGAGAAAGTGGAAAGTCGACAGATTCTAACAATGTTTAAATCAGATTTCTACACTGTGTTATCACAAAGATATTAATAGAAATATCACCGACCTCAAAGGGTTCAGAAACTGGAATATTTAATAAGAAAAGAGAAAAAACATGTTGGGCAGCTGACGTTAAATTAGAGTATATACTTATATACATATATATATATATATATATATGTATATAAGTATGTTTGGGTTTTCAAACTAAACAAATATAAAAGTTGTAAATGTACTCACGAGTCTTAGTGAGTTTGCTGCCCATGTCTGTCTCTGAGCGGCAGGTGATCTGGTCTCTGTGGCTTGTTGCTGGTGAATAGTTTGTACATCAGCTCAGTGTGATAATCTGCTCCTAGTCTCCTCCTCAATCACACGTCACGCCCCCACTCGGCCCAGAGCCGGCTCAGGTCACACAGACAGACGTGCAGCCGAATCTTTCATTGAAACACTGTGATGCTCTGAAGTTAAGCACAGGTACAGCTCAGGTGTTGTTTCACTGTTTCTAATGATGTGATGAAACATCAACCAGGTCGGAGGCTGAAGTTTGAAAAAAACAATGGAGGAAATCATCAGAGGAAGAAAACTGTGAAATCAGATGAAATTGAACTAATAATTACTGATGGACTGACAGAGAGAAGCTCGACAGTCAGAATCAGAATGTGCTTTATTGCCAAGTAGGTTTTTCAACGCACAAGGAATGTGTTTTGGTGCTTGGGTTCAACACAATAAACATAGTAAGAAGAAAAGAAATATAAACGAAGATGAAACACACGGGTACTGCAGGTCTAAATAATACTTGGATATAAACGGAAAAATGTAACAATAAGATAAAATATTTACAGTAAGATCTGAAAAAATATTATAGAAAAGAATAAATAGAAAAATATAAATATAGGTAATACAAATACATACTCCATATACTATATAAATAAATGTATATATGTTTTATATATAAAAGAATAATTTAACATAAAGTAAAATAACCAAGATATAAATCTTGGTTATTTTACTTTATGTTAAATTATTCTTTTTGTAGATATGAATCTATGAGTGGGAAATAATATACACATGGTTTTTCTCAGGATTTCACACGGATGTTGGCGTTGTGTTTAATATTGATCAAGAAAGCAGAGAAGAGACTTTAGATTGTCTGTCGTTTGGATTTGAAACTTGTAGAGGAGCTGAAGACCAGGAGGAACTCCACCGAGATTCATTTGTAAAAGACAGGAAGGGGATATTTACTTATGGCTTCCTGTGTGTGTGTGTGTGTGTGTGTGTGTGTGTGTGTGTGTGTGTTGGAAAAATTGCGATACTTTATGACTAGATAAACATAATTATCCTAAAGAGAAACTGTAATGTCCTGAAGTGAACTTTTCTTGTTTTTAAGACAGGAGTTGTCAGAGAGGAGCGCAGTGACCTTCGCTCTTCCTCCCAGCCACTGTATAAATCCTGGGTGAATCTTGCATTCCTTGAACATTTGCACTGCGAGCTCTTTGTGTGTCACTTGTTCCCTTGCTGCAAGAATAAATATCCTGCTCTTGTGAATTTTCAGACGGTGTTCCTGAGTTTATTTGATCATTTTCCTAACAACTTGGTCCTTTGAGCCGGATCTCAACAACCTCTCCTACTGTCCAGGACAGGACCTGAACCGTGCACGGGGGAGTCTGGGACTCCTGAACTAAAGTCCTCCAGCATAGAGAATTGCTGTTAAAAAGAGGCCAGGATCTGCTGGACTGTGGGAAGGTGACGAGATCCACGAACAGAGAGAAACCAGGACGTCTGTATCAGAAGGTAGGAGAGTCAAATTAAAGACTATAACATAGGTAAAATTGTGTTGTGAAAAGGGTCCAGGACCCTATTAGTCCATAGTCTGTGTGAGAAGACTACAGGAATAAATTACTCTGTGCGCATGTTAAATTGTGAGAGAAGGCCTAAAATGGTTCAGGGAACTATGAAACAGTAAAAACAAACAAAACAAAAAAAATATAAAAGTAAAAAAAAAAAGAAATTGATAGAATATTTTCTGAGTGTGAGTCTTGATGAGTAACAGAGAGGGAAACCTCACGGTGATAACTGAAGCGGTACTCATCAAACAGGACCAGTTGCTCAGGTGAACTCCACACGAACTGGTTGGCCACAGGTGAGAAAATGGGGAATTGCAGTAGCTGCTGCTTTAAAGAAAACAATGGTCCAATCACTGGAGATTAATGTTCACAAGGGACCAGGATCATGTAGGAGAATCATAAGGCTAGAGACGTATGATCTGATATCAACCGGTTGGACGCCAATAGGAGTTTAAGAGACAGTGTGGGAACAATAACAAAAGATATGGTCAGGAAGTCAACTGAGCAGGCTAAGATACTTAGGATTGGTGAGAAACATCTGGTAATAAGAGATTAGGTAAATAGGAATAGATATAATGCCAAGGCACACTGCCAGTAAGAGAACGATGACCTGGGAGGGCGTCATGGTGTTCTGCCAGAAGAGAAGAGAACACCATGACCTGGGTGTAAGCCATGAGAAACAAAAGTGCAGGAGTTGGTCAACAGTTCGGCAAGAGTTATACCACGTAGCCAAAAAAGATTGGGAAAAACAGGATGCACATACACACACATAGCCACTCGAGGTATAAAAGGATATGTCATGACCTGTGTGGTTGGTTGCTGTCTCCGTCTATGTCTGCAAGTGGGCCGCATTGAATAAAGAGAGACTCCCCGCCTTGATACCTGTGTCTCGACTGTTTGATTCCTTTTGATCCACCACTTCTCGCCACAACATAATTGGTGACCCCGACGTGATCGAGTTTGGATCCTAGGCTGGGAAGGAGGCCGACGCATCCCGCTCCAAGGTCGCTGAGAATACTGCAGTAAAGGTAGGTTAAAATTAAAGCTACATCAGCGCACTTGTTGTGGGGGCGGTGGGTGAAATCTCAGCTGTTCATGGATGCACTCGAAATGAACTAATGATTTAATAATTGAAGCTAAAAGTAAAACTGAATAATTGTTGGAGAGAAGGAGAGTGGTGGAAGAGCAGGGGAGACACCGGTCTCGGGTGAAAAACCTACGCGCGCAGGTTCTGCCAGACACTTGTGTAAAGTGTGTGCCGTGGTTCAACGCTAAGTGGTTTAGACGGCTCGAGTAGCGTAGACGAGCAACCCCTATTGGCTGTTTGATACATCTGGCAGTTGACTGATCAGTCGAGGTGTTTGGACAAACAAGAAAGAGAACTAGAAGGGGGGCTAGTTGGACCCCAGACGCATGTTGGAGTGAACATAGTTGTCTGAACACAGAACGGAGCCTCAGGCTCGGGCTGTGTGCTGTGCGCCGTGGATATAAGGATTGTGAAAGCGCTGTGTGTGTTTTTTGTGGAAGAACCGGTTTCCGAACTCCCGGATGTTTTTGACGTTGGATGAGCATGGTTTGAGAAACCAGTAACATTGAGTGCAGCCCGTATGCTGATGCTGTAATTTCGAAGCTGCCATGGTGTGGTCTTTGGGCGGCATTTACCCTTAACTGTGGAAAACCCTAACCCAATTGTACCCGCACTAATAGTAAAAGATATCTGTGGAAGAGTGTCACACCACAAATCCACTAGTACTGAAGATGAACTTGACCTCGGTGGAGGACCCAAGCTCATAGAAACAGTCAGTTTCTCAAATTATAGGGGCACCTGTATTACAAGAGGATAATTTAATAATTGCAATATCTGTGTATAACTCCTAGCTAAGAGAAAATTATAGAAATTATAATTATAATTTTAATTTTAAAATTCTTTTAAAAAATGGGAAAAGAAATACAGGTTTTCAGGAAAACTAGTAACAGGTGACTGTCAGGAGTTAGTGAAGAGAATAGAAGAAGAGACAAAGGGGAAGCCTACAAAGAGTGAAAGGAGTCTTATGGGTCTTATACAAGCAGGAAACTGGTTAGCAGCAGCCAGGAAAAGGCAAGAAGGAATAAAAAAGGGTAAAGAAGGTAAAAAGACTGAGACAGAGACAGAGACAAAGACTGAAGTAATGGCTTTGACTGACAGAGAAGATGTCACTGTAGTAGTGAGAAGCCACAGAACAGACATTCCTCTGGGACCAATGCCAGGTCCTCCACCCGACCCAGACCATAGGCAGACCAGTCTGCAGGATATCCTGACTTAAGACCGTTAGAACAAACAAGTCCAACAGCTCCTCCACCACCGGCAGCCGCACCCACAGTTGCCACAGTAATGCAGAGAGTGGATGAAGGGAGAGATCTAAAAAGAAGATATGAACAACAGCTCAAAAATGCTCTCCTCAGAGGGGTCAACCTCAAATCAGTAGCTTCGAAATGAAACACGTGATAGATTATCGTACTGGACGCTTGACCAGTGTTCTACAACATTGTTAACATGCAGAATGTCATTTTAAAGATAAGAAAAAGCAAAAAAGGGGACAAGCTTTTGTGTTTACTGATGATGGAGGAGAGGCTGTGGACTTTCAGACAGAACGAGGAAGAGGGCGGAGCCGGGGAGGAAGAGCTGGTGGACGAGGAGGAGGGCGTGGACGGCCACAGGGTGACGGGGAGAGAAAGGTCACACAGAAACAGAGAGTGCAGGAGAAGACAGTGAAATACTGAACTTACAACATATTGATTTAATGTTAAATCAGGAAATAAAACCAGAAGTTTCTCTAATAATTGGAGGAAGTGAAGTAACTTTTCTCTGTGACACCGGAGCTTCACGATCTGTAGTACATCCTGACGATGTACCAGACATAATGAGATCCTCCGATGTCATCTATGTAAAATCAGCAAATGCAAAAGTTCATAAAGAAGCTTTATCACAAACAACACCGGTGACAGACCCGGAAACAAATAAGCAGACACACATTAAATTAGTCCTGTCTCACATCTGTCCAGTGAACCTATTGGGAGGAGACTTACTGGCAGAATTAGACACAGCAGTAGTACCCTGTGATGGTGGGTTAGTTGCACAGCGCAGGGTTAAACGTGCAGAGACATTAGTTTTACAGAGTGTAAAACCACCACAGTACTGGTACAGCCTAGATCCTGCAGGTACAGGCCCAAGCTCAGTTACATCTCCTCTAACAGAACAAGGAACATCATGTGCTCCTCCAACAGCAGACTTTATAAAACCAGCTGAGTTACATTGCACCATGTATTATAAACACACCACAGGACCAAATCCTGACTGTGAGAAACAGTTTTACAAAATGTCTCAAACAAAACTGACCCTGACAAACCTTTAATGGGACGAAACAGGATTTTGCGGAGCAGCATGTAATCTAACTCCACAAATGAGGAAACTGTATAGATCCCTCTCAGCCCCACATGTGTCTGTATCAAAGCCAAAAACAACACGTTGGCCAGATGTGGGGACATTTGTGACAGAGTGTGAACAAACCTCAGATTGGGAAGATGTAAGTAAAAATATCCAGTACTCCCCCAGTCTGAGAGCATACAGCCAGAAACTGAGCTGGGTAACCGATGCCAGACCTAACACACACTCACATGAATCAAAATCAAGAACATGAGAAATATATGTGTTAACAGAAAAGGAAGAACAGCTGTTAAAAGAAGTTCCATCCAAATCATGGTCACAAGGGACAGCAGATGTGGGATTAATCAAAGGGGTAGCACCAGTCTCCATAACACTGAAATCATCATTTAGACTGCATCAAAGGCAATATCCATTAAAACCTGAAGCTGAAGCTGAAGCAGGGACAGAGCCATCATTAATGACCTAATCAAGGCAGGAGTCATAATTGAATGTCCTGACTCTCCATGCAACACACCACTATTCCCTGTTAAGAAACAGCACCCTCTACTGGCTGGAGGATGGTACAAGCTCTACAGGCAGTGAATAAAGCTGTGGTACCGAGGGCACCAACAGATCCACATACACTGTTAAAGGAGTTGAAACCAGAAAATAGATATTTCACTGTCTGCGACATCAGTAATGCTTTTTTCTCTGGTCCAGTTCATAAAGACAGACAGTTGTGGTTTGCATTTACCTACAAAATGAAAAGATACACTTATACCCGCATTCCCCAGGGATACTGTGAAAGTCCAACAATATTCTCTCAGATTATGCAAATTTAGCAAAATTTCAACCTCCAAAAGGAAGCCAGGTTTTATTATATGTTGATAATATTCTTTTGGCCTCAGCCACAAAACAAGCATGTGAAGAGGACTCAGTAGCTTTGCTAAAGTTCCTAGCTGAACAAGGACATAAAGTAAGTAAAAAGAAACTACAGCTTTGTAAAGAGACAGTAAAATATTTAGGTTATTGTCTTTCAGCAGAGGGACGACACTTAGATAAAGAGAGAAAAACAGATATTTTACAAGCACCAAAACCTCAGACCAAGCACCAGATGATGTCATTTCTGGGCATGATACATTTTTGCAGAAGTTGGATCGCCAATTATGCAACAATAACCTCCCCATTGTCAGCCCTAATCTATGACACGCCCCTAGCTGCATCAGACAACATCGCCTAGAGCACAACATGTGGAAAAAGAAAGGAGCAAAACAAAAGGACAGCGGCATCTATGTATGACCACAAGGCAAACCTATACTTCCACGTAGTTTGTTCAGGTATGCTGCATTATTGAGCCATGGACAATGTCATGTCTCAACAGGAGGGATGGTTCATGCAAGAGAGCAAACATTTACAACATACGAGTTTACAAATTACTCTAAAAATTTTTGTTCAATGTGTGAAATCTGCATAAAATATAATCCACAAGGTAATCTAAGCCCTAGAAGAGGACAATTTCCAAAACCTGAGTATCCGTTCCAACACATCTGTATGGATTTTGTTGAACTTAATAAATGTGAAGGGAAGAAATACTGCCTGGTAATAATCGATATGCACACAAAATGGGTAGAAATATTTCCCTGCGCAAACCCAGACGCACTAACAGTTGCAAAAGCTTTGGTTAAAGAAATAATACCACGATTCGGTATTCCTGAAAGAATTTATAGTGATAATGGAAAACATTTTGTCAACAACATCATCACTCTAATAGCGAACAATCTAAATATAGAACTAAAAAATCATTGTGCATACCACCCCCAATCAGCAGGATTAGTGGTGTACTGCCTTATCAGTCAATTACTTTCATTTTGTTAAATAGCTCCTCCTGCTGTTGGTTTTGTATAGCAGTCATTTAGGTCAGGTAATCTGTGTCTCTAGTTAATGACATCATCAGTAAGTGTCTAGGCAGTTCTCCATGTCAGAGCAGAGGGAAAGTTCATGCCTTTTTCTTCGGACATCATCCAGACGTTCAAGTCTTTGAAAGCATCGTCCTTTTACCCTACTGCCAGTTGCTGCATTAAAGAAGTCAACTTAAGCCTCTTTGTCCGTGTAGTAATTGGGGATGGAGTTTATCTACCTGTCAATTCATGCAAGGCGTGTGAAGAGGAAGAAAAGTGGAAAGATTAAATGGAACTATAAAGTCCAAACTATGAAGGAAACAGGAAAGAATTGGATTTATTGTTTACCACTAGTAATGTTGAACATACATGTAACACCAACAGGCACAGGTCTTACACCATTTGAAATGATGTATGGGAGACCTTACGTGATCCCACAGTTGAAACCATTCACTCGAACTGATGAAGCAGCAGAAGAGACATTAGCTGATTATATGAAGAAAATGTTGACTAACAAAAGTGTTCAATCTGCTAACTCTGTTCCAACACAGGAGCCTGAACAACCAACATCTATCGTTGTTCCGGGGGACTGGGTGTTTGTCAAAGTCATTAAAAAAAAGACCTGGTCCAGCCCAAGGTGGGAAGGACCGTTCCAGGTTCTCCTGACCAACGGCAGTAAAGATCGCAGAAAGAGGCTCCTGGATCCATCTCTCACACTGTAAGAAAGCACTTCAGCTATCTTCTCTGGAGGAAGACTCAGGTGAGACCTAGAACACTGACCTCAGCATCTCCATGGGATAGTCTGGCTACAAAGGGGAGTGAAACCAACAGGGTCCCTTGTCTCAAACCAGTGAAGAACCCATCAGTACCTGGAGATAGTAGGAGGGAAGTGTCTGGGGTTACTGGCTTTCTCCGAAAGAGACTCTGATGACAAATGAACAAATAATCAATTTAAATTATATTCCTATTTGCCAAACACCAAAAGGGATAGCTTTAATAGTGTGGAGTGAAAACGAAGATTCTAGCATTAACCTGCTTACTATATTTACTGTGTTATTCTTAGCATTAGCATCCTATTAATCCAGTCCTATTAATAATTTATCTGTTAAGTTGAGTTATTTCCTAAAAATAAACATGGATAGGCCACGACCATGGCATCCGTTTAGACAACCAGGCCTCTGTGGCCTCAGGGGTACCATCTGTTGTTTACTCTGTATAACACTTATCATTATGCTCCCAATGATATGGTTTGAGTTGCAGGTAAGCAAGAGCCAACACCCACTCAATGAGACCGAGACGACCACTGACAGAACCCCTGCTGAAGAGGAAATCAAAGTAGGGAACAGATCACTGAGTGGTAGTAAGACACCGTTAACACTAACCTTTACTGAGGGACAAAGTAATACAGCAAAGTTCGATCTCTGTTCTGTCAGACATTGTGGCCAAAACCAAGAAGCCCATAAATGTTCAATGTAAGTTCTACCAGTATTCCAGAGCAACTACAGAACGGGCCTATTGTGACTTACCTAGATCTCACTAATGCAACCATAATGGATAAAGTAGCTATTGAGACAGGGTTTGTTGAGACAAATGAATGGCTTCGATGGTTAATTTATACTGCACAAAACAATAAACCAAATACAACCAATTGTCTAGCATGTGCGGCAGCCAGGCCTGGGTTAGGCACAGTTCCATTTCCCTTAAATCAAAACGATGATCCAGATGGATTCCAGTGTATGATCAGACTATTCAACTCTCCTAACCCTTCTGAAGACTGTACCACCTTGCACTATCTGTTCCCTCCGACTGCAGAAACATGACCGCCTCACTTCAGCCCGTATGCAGGTAATTACACCCGTATCGAGCGAAGGGGATTGGGGCAGGATGTGGGGGAGCTGTCGTGGTGCAACGTTACATTATCAACTAACGGCACAGGCATTCAGGACGACTGGTGCTGATGTGTGGTGGTTCTGTGGAGGAAAAACACTGAGGTCAACGTTACCTTATGACTGGAAAGGGAAATGTGCTCTGATCCAATTGGTTATGCCATTCTATGTATTGCCCTTGACCGATCCTGTAGCATCAAAAGGAATGTTCAAATTTGAATCTTTGTTCTTTTGGTGGGTTACAATTAATAAAAATGTAGATTGGATAAATTACATTTATTATAAACAACAACGGTTTGTGAACTACACACGAGATGGGTTTAAAGGTATAGCTGAACAATTAGAGAAAACAAGCCTGATGGCATGGCAGAACAGAATGGCCCTGGATATGCTCTTAGCTGAGAAAGGAGGGGTTTGTAAGATGTTCGGTGAGATGTGTTGCACCTTTATTCCAAACAATACAGCCCCTGATGGAAGCATTACTAGAGCCATCCAAGGCCTGACAGCTCTCTCACAGGAGCTGGCAGAAAATGCTGGTGTAGACAACCCCTTTACCAGAATGATGGAGAATTGGTTTGGGAGGTGGAGTGAATTAATCTCTTCTTTTCTAGTCTCTATTGCAGTTGCAGCAGCTCTTCTTTCTGTCTTTCTGTCTGCGGTTGCATACCATGTCTACGAGGACTCATCCAAAGGCTGATTGATACCGCCATGACAAAAACTATGATGTACCAACACATACCAACCGATGAGGATAATGAAAGTATTGTATGAGAATGTGCCTTGTGATGATGGGTGAACAAACTATGAAGTACACTATGAAAATCTGTGAAGAAGAGTAGTGTGTGGAAAATACGGATGAACCTAATTCACCTGTATGTATATAGTAAGAATTCTCATTGTGTGATAAAATGCTTTTAATTGAGTTTTTATTTACTAGAAGTTCATAAAGTATAAACAGGAGGGAAATGTTGGAAAGATTGTGATACTTTATGATAAACATAACTATCCTACAGAGAAACTGTAATGTCCTGAAGTGAACTTTTCTTATTTTGACATTGTGTTTGTTTTCAAGACAGGAGTTGTCAGAGAGGAGCGCAGTGACCTTCGCTGCTCCTCCCAGCCACTACACCCAAACATTAGCTATGATAAGGCATGAATCAAGTCAGTGTATCTCATATCAGCAAAAATGTGAGGTCACTCTCATATGTTCTGTGTATAAATCCTGGGTGAATCTTGCATTCTTTGAACATTTGCACTGCGAGCTCTTGTGTGTAACTTGTTCCCTTGCTGCAAGAATAAATATCCTACTCTTATAATTTTCAGACGGTGTTCCTGAGTTTATCTGATAATTTACTTAACAGTGAGGACAGGAGATGGAGCTGTGCCTAAAACAACATGGCTCACACTTTATTTCCCAGTTGACTGATGAGACCAAACTGCACTTTGTATGAAACAAACAGTTGGACATTAATTAGACAACATACATAAATAATCTGTTTACAAACCACATGTTGTTCCACATCAGATCTAAAATAAACAACACTCAGACACTGTTACATAAATTACACTAATCAGAATCCAAACAGGAGACAAAGACCCTTCTGATGAGAAATCAGATTGGACGGAGGAGAGAAGAAACGTTTGTGTTTAAGAAAAAGTTTCTGCCCTGATGTCTTATTCAAATATTTATTCAGTTTCAGTTTAGTTTAGTTAGTTTTTATTCCTCCGCGCCAGTGACAGTCAGACCGGCAGCCATTTTGTTTTCGGGTTGTCCATCCATTTGTCCGTCTCATTCGCATGAGCACAATATCTCAGGAACACCTTGAAAGAATTTCTTCATATTTGGTAAAAGCATTCACCTGGACTCAAGGATGAACTGATTAGATTTTGGTCAATGGTCAAGGTCAGTGTGACCTCACAAAACCCTTTTTAGCCATTACTCAAGACTTCACAGCAATATTTTATATGACTCTGGATATGTATATATATATATCCTCTGATATATGAAGATATATGATTATAATACATATGAAATACCCACAGTAAAATTTGTATATGTATAAATATTAAAAATATCTATGATTAATTTTTACATGGTAAAACATGTTGCAACCATGTATTTTAACAATATAAATTTAATCTATTCATGCAAGTTTATTCAAATAACATACATGTGAAAAAAAATCTATGTTTATACATGTTTTTATAATTAATTTTAAATTTAATGTCCATCTTCACATTCTGAGACTTTTACACTCTACTGTTTATAATAACATATAATGACAGGCTGTGGGATATATTTGTGTAACATGTATAGTATGTCACCGAATTGTTCCAATATCTTATAGGTGTTATGTATAGTTTTTTACATATGTTTTTATTTAATATGTACATGTTACGCCCCGTTGCCGGGGAAAATGGTAAAGTAAAAAGGTGGAAAAACTACACGAGCACGACACATTAGCATTTAGTGTGTATTCTCTTCAGTCAGCCATGCTGCTTCTCTCTCAACACGGAACAGGTATCTGGGGCTACCCGATCTGCGGACGTACCCGATTTGCTTAGCGCATGCGCAGTACGGTCGGCCATCTTGGACAGAAAAGTACGGCAGCTCCGTTTGGACAACAATCAATCGCTGTACAGCACATTCGCCACAGACTTGATAAAGAAAATAAAAACAATTGAAGTTCCGGAAAAATAACTTATGCAAGTGAATTTTTATAAAAGGTAAGTAAAAGGTTGTAAACAAAAAGTGGTATAAAATAAACTATTTTTATCTATATGTGTTGTTACTGTCTCTATTGTCGTCTTCTATACCTGCCAGGCAAAAGCAGTGTAACACAGAATAGATGATCAATCATCATTTTTACATTTTAAACTCAAGACACATGAAAATAATGAATTATTATTCTTTTTTTAAATCACTCTTTCTAATGAATTGCTATGTTAACATATGAAAATCATGAACTATCTTTTTAATCAAGTCTTGTCATGAATTATTATTATGTTCAGCCATAAACTCTTGGTTAAACGTAACCTTTTATCATGTTCAATATTATAACCATGACATACATATATTACATATGTGTATATTTTATACAAGTGATGGTCTGACTGTAGCTGTGAGATGTGGTTATGACGTCACAGATTAGATGACAGACTTCACTGTGAACGCAGCCTTTGGTCACAATATAAACTAATATTTGTTTATTTATTTTTGTAAACGAACAATAAAACAGAAAAGACATTAAAGTATTAACAATTAATATTTAATATGAATGAATGTATATGTATTTGATGCACGATTATTACATCATTATTGACTGAGCAGTTATTAACGGTCACGTGACTGTGTTTCCCTGTTAACAACATGGCTGCCGAGGATCTGCCTTCTGAATTTGACGTTGTCATTCTGGGCACAGGTAAACCAACTCCTGGCTGTTGTTACGTGCTCTGACCCGGTTCGTGTGTGTGAACGTGCCTCTGATAACGGATCGGATCAAAAGGTCCCGGAATCCCGTTTTAAACCGGTACGAACCGGGACACAGGCTGGGTGTAGCCTGGGCGTTAGCTAGCGGCTAACGGCCCATTCATTCTCAGTGACAGGTGTTAGCTCCGGGAAAAACATAATTAAAACGTTACCGAACATCAGTCCGTTAACAAGCTGCTGGCGTGTTAGCAGCGGAGCTAACGGAGCTGTCTCTGCTGCTAACGTTAGCACCGGGAGTTTCATCCTTCATGTTTCTGTGCCGCTCAGAGCTGTGCACTGACACTACTGTTAGCCTGTCGTGCTGCTAACATGCTAATGACAGCTGCCGTCACGTGATGTTAGCATGACACTAGAAGTTAGCATCATTTACATTTACTCATTTATCAGACACTTTTATCCAAAGTGACGTAAAAGTGAAGAACATCACTGAAGCTTCAGTTCAGGAGAGATTTAGTATCGGTGTGAAGACGTTTATAACAGGCTAACTTTGTTTATCTGGCTGTTTGTCATCATGAATCAGCACAGAGAGAGAGAGAGAGAGTGTGTGTGTGTGTGTGTGTGTGTGTGTGTGTGTGTGTGTCAGAATCAGCTTTATTGTGTGTTCATGTAAACAATGAATTTAAAGCTGAGCAGAAACATATAAAAATGAACATATGACTGTTGTGTACACATAAAACATACACACATAGGAACAACAAACAGTGTGTACATATGAGTCAGCCTGCAGGAAACAGGTGGAGCAAGGGGTGATAAGTGACTTTATACACAGACAGGTGGTCCTGTACAGTGTGTCTACATGTTCATACAGTATATAAACAGTCTGATGTTGATTACATCAACCAGTGATTTCACAGTGTGAGTTTGTAACTGATGGTTTGTACACACTGGATCAGTGAGGGCGGGGCTTGTGTGCAGGTTATGTTACAACCACATGAGTGGGTGTAAACAAAGATGCAGCTTCATGTTTCAGTCTGGAGGTTGATGGTTGGTTACAACATCAAACTGACAATATGAACAGGTTTGTTTCAACTTACAGTATATCTTATAAAACATCCCGATATACTGCCCAGTTCCACTCTATAGATTATTGATAATAGACTATAGATTGTTGATGATAGACTGTATTGATTGTGTGTGCAGGTCTTGCTGAGTCGGTGGTAGCAGCAGCCTGTTCCAGAGTCGGACAGAGGGTTCTCCACCTCGACAGGTCAGTCCTGATACTGAAGCTATTATTGATAATCAATAAGTCATAAAGTGATGAGTGTGTGAGTCTCTGATCAATGGAGAGTTTAAAGTTAAAGCTAATATGAAAATAAAATAGATGATAATTAAACCTGCAGCAGTTTGTGTTTCTGTCAGGCTTTTATTGTGAAAGGTGTCTCCTCAGGATGAAGTGACAGCTTCCTGTGTGTGTTTTCAGGAAGAGTTATTATGCAGCGAACTGGGCCAGCTTCACCTTTAACGGCCTGCTCACCTGGATACAGCAGCACCATGTGAGTACAACGCTGTGCTCTGATTGGCTGCTGAGCTCTGCTCCATGTTCCTGCAGAAAAACTACAAACATGGAGGATTTACTGCTGCTGACAGGAAGGAGGATGTGTTTTGGTGTGAAGTGACTCTCTTAGGGCTGATCAGATTATTGATCAGATTATTGATCAGATGGACAGTGTAAATCCATCAGTGATTGTTGTAGTGTGTGTGTCTGTGTGTCTGTTTGTCTGTGTTTGTAGGAGTCTCAGCCTGAGGAGGTCCAGGATTGGTCGAGCCTTTTGCAGGAAGGGGAGGAGCTAATCTACCTGTCTACCTCTGATTCCGCCTCCATCAGTAACCTGCAAGTGTTTTGTTTCACCAGGTAAACTGCCGAGTCAACGCAAGAGACATGTATTGTTTATTATTGATTGATTGATTTGTTTAGATTCAGTATTTTTTTCTCTCACAGGTAAAAGTTTGAAGGTTTTGAAAGGCTTTTAATGTGAAATGTCTGTGCAGGAAGTGTTGTCATGTGACTGATAGAGATTCAGAGTGTTGATCATTTTATCTCTTCATATCTCAGTTTTTGATCCTGTCCTCATGAGTGACCTGCAGGTGTGTTTGTTTCCAGTGAGGAAGACGAGGAGGAGGAAGCTCAGAGTCCTGATCCCCCAAACACCACAGAAGAAGAAACAGTAGTTGATGATGAAGATGCTGTTAAAGAAACACCAGAGACAGAATCTGCAGGTTTGATTCTTATTAGTTATCAATAGTAAATATTGATTTGTCACTGAAACACTTCAGTCTCTTAAATCCTGGATCAGGATCCGGATCCACAGGAGGAGAATCAGTTCTTGTTTTTCTTCCAGATTCAAAGGACGAAGAAACGAAAGAGAAACCAGAGGAATCAGCTGATGAAGAGGAGGCGGGGCAGGTGAGGAGGGAGGCTCAGTGATTGGATGAGATATTCTGACCAATCAGAGGCTCTATCAGTTATTGTTAATTGATTAGTTACTGTGCTGTAACAGCTCTGTATGATAGCTAATCAGAACAGATGTTTCGTCCAATCACAGGCTAGTCACTTAGAGGGGGAGGAGCCAAAGGCAGACAAGCCATGCCCTTCTACAGCTCAGAGCCAATCAGAGGCAACCAGGAAGAAGATCAGCTACGCTCAGCTGGTGAAGGAAGGACGCAGGTTCAACATCGACCTCGTCTCCAAGGTAACAGAATAGTTTATCAAAACGTAACCTAGCAACGGCCTGTTTGTGTTTCTGTCTCAACATTCTGGCTCCAGCCAATTGTATCGCTCGCTGTGACTGACTGCCATCTCATTGGTTGGTGAAGTTGTTAAATGATTCAGAACCAGTCGACACAGTTTCTGTCAGTTTCCATGGCAACCATAACCTTACAATTCTTCTTCTTCTGCTCTAGCTGATGTATTCTCGCGGCTCATTGGTCGATCTGCTCATCAAATCAAACGTCAGTCGCTATGCAGAGTTCAAGAATGTCACCAGGATACTCACCTATCGCCACGGCAACGTGGAACAGGTGTGTACAAACTGCCTGTTTACCTGTCTGTCTCTTTGTGACTGTCCGTCTGTCAAGTGCCCTTCAGTCAAGCTGATGTGTTACCTGTCTGTCTCTCAGGTGCCCCTCAGTCAAGCTGATGTGTTACCTGTCTGTCTCTCAGGTGCCCCTCAGTTGAGCTGATGTGTTACCTGTCTGTCTGTTTACCTGTCTGTCTCTCAGGTGCCCTGCAGTCGAGCTGATGTGTTTGCGAGTCGTCAGCTGTCTGTGGTGGAGAAGAGGAAGTTGATGCGTTTCCTCACTTCCTGTTTGGAGGAGACAGAGGAGCAGCACGGTGAGACATCTCTCCTGTCTACCTGCTGACATCAACCACCTTCTTACCATCAGGGCATTGTGGGTAATGTAGTACTGTATCTACCTCTTCCTACCAGCCTATAACGGTCGGCCATATTTGGAGTACCTGCGTGACCAGCAGCTGGGAGACAACCTGCAGCACTTCCTGCTTCACTCCATTGCCATGGTGACAGAGGACACACCCACAGAGGTGGGGCTTACCTCCACACGTCACTTCCTGCGCTGCCTGGGTCGCTACGGCAACACGCCTTTCCTGTTTCCTGTCTATGGCCTTGGAGAGATACCACAGTGTTTCTGTAGGTAAGAACCTGTCTGTCTGTCTACCTGTCTGTTCACCTGTCTTACCTGTCTGTCTGTCAATAGTAATGATACTAATATTGCCTCTACCACTGTCACTACTACTGTTACTATTACCAGTACTACTGCTGTGTACTAAGTACCACATGAGTGGATACTAGTAGTAGTAGTATTAGTACGCCTGTGTGCATTACTATTATTACTAGATAGTAGATTTATACATCAATGTATTGTCAGTTCTGTCTGACTCCTGTGGTCTTTAAGTTCTCCAGAGACGATCAGCTGGTCGTCATGGTGACGCTGCTGTCTCATTAGAGCAGCATGTGAATATTAATGAGGAGGGTGTCGCCCAGGGCTCAGCTCATTTACATATTAGATGATCTTCAGCGGATATTACTGCTCATCACACACACATATCAGACACAGGGTTGTGTGAGGTAGTTACCTGTGCTCAGTGTCACCTGCAGTTGATCAGTGTAGGTACAGATGGTCATTGGAATAAAAACATGTTGGATCCACTTAAAGAAACAATGTGAGTTCACACTGAATATCGTCACTGTCAAACACACCTGTGTGACTCAAACAGCTGATCTGCAGTGCAGGTGTAGAGTGTAGTAATACAGAAGTAAAGCAGGTGAGAAACTTTAACAGTGAAGAACCAGAAGCTGCAGTTCCTCTAACGACCACTAGAGTCTGGCTCCAACAGTGAGTCAGTCCCCATAGACTCCCATGTTAAAATGTCCAACTTTACAGCAGAAATCAACATGTTTACAGCCTGGTACAAAAACTGTTTTGGTCTCTAGAGCTAATTTCCTCCTTCATAACTACTGTTTATATAACTCACCTGTTTACATTTTATTAAGGACTAAAGTAATGGAGGATTGAGGGCGTGGCCTCTTTGAGTGACAGGTGGGTGAGTATATGCTCCTCTTTGACCATATTTGGATTAGCTGGGAGTTAGGGAGAGGAGTCAGAAACCTCCAAGATGGCGATGGTGGAGCAGCTCACTCTGAGCTTCAGAAACCTGTGGCGTCCCACCTTATTTACAGTCTGTAGTAACTACCTCACACAACGTCTGATAACCTGAACTATCAGTTCGACTCAGTGAATAAACATTAAAACTAGTCTGCAGCAGAAATACTAGTCAGTTAAACTAGTTATAGTTATAGATATAGTTAATATTTAGTTTATGAAGCTGGTGAACTGTTGTCTCATGACTCATAATCTTTAATCCAGATCATCTCAGAGTCTGAACAGACACTTTCACTCTGATGTAAAGTCATAACTTCAACAAAACTATTTTTACTGAAAAGGTTTTTTATTTTATTTCTTTACTTTTACTTTATTAGTCAAAAACTTTATGAAGAAAAACAATTTTATTCAGAAAATTACCTTTTTATTTGTTTAAATAAAATTCACATTTCTCTTTAGGTCATCGTTTTTATTTAGATCTTAAACACACACGCTTGATGTTTGTGTGTGTGCTGTAATTTTCCTGCAACTCCACAGCTAATGCTTTGTTTTCTTTTAATCAAGGACACACACACACACACACACACACACACACACACACACACACAGTTATTAACACATGATGACAGACGGATTGCTGAACATTTAATGTGTGTGAGAATGAAAGTCTGTTAAAGCTGCAGGGGAAAAGGTGTGTGTGTGTGTGTGTGAGTGAGAGGAGAGACTGTTTAATGTGAGACAGACTTTGATTTATGAAGTGAGCTGTAATTTGATTATGTTATTAATTGAAGGGGGGGGGGGGCTGATGAGAGAGAGAACCACAGCTAAATGTGATTAGCTGACACACCTGTCAATCAAGTAAACATGCCCTCAAACACCCTCCTCTTTAATAAAGCTGCCTCAGACACACAGATGTGGACAAAAGTATGTGGACACCTGACCTCCGGCGTTGAGCCTTTGACTCTTATTAACATGTACTCAGTTCACCTGTAGATGTTCATCGTGGTTCCTCTGTGCTGATTGGATAATACCTGTGACTCACCTGGTGCTGTGTGTTTCAGGATGTGTGCTGTGTTTGGAGGAATCTACTGTCTGAGACACTCGGTCCACTGTCTGCTGGTTGACAAGGACACCAACAGGTACCAGTACTACTCACTGCAGTACTCAGAGAACTACTCACTGCACTACTCAGAATACTCCTCACTGCAGTACTCAGAGTACTCCTCACTGCAGTACTCAGAGTACTCCTCACTGCAGTACTCAGAGTACTCCTCACTGCAGTACTCAGAGTACTCCTCACTGCAGTACTCAGAGTACTCCTCACTGCAGTACTCAGAGTACTCCTCACTGCAGTACTCAGAGTACTCCTCACTGCAGTACTCAGAGTACTCCTCACTGCAGTACTCAGAGTACTCCTCACTGCAGTACTCAGAGTACTCCTCACTGCAGTACTCAGAGTACTCCTCACTGCAGTACTCAGAGTACTCCTCACTGCAGTACTCAGAGTACTCCTCACTGCAGTACTCAGAGAACTCCTCACTGCAGTACTCAGAGA